TCCAGCTTCAACCAGGTTATCGGTGTCAGCAGCTAATCCTCTTCTCCTCCTCAATGTTTCTCTTAAACATGCATCATCTCTTGAGACCTGTCTTCAGTTTCATGCTGCTTTCCCTTACAGCAGATCCTTTGTATGAGGACAGGGAGAGTCCTTAGCTTCTCATTCCCCTTCATCCAGGCCCATGGTCACTTCTTTTTCCAGCCTGAGACTAGACTCTCCTCACATTCTTGAGCCGTTGTCACTGAACACATCCGGGGACCCCCCGTGTCCCTCGTCCCATTGCTCCTTGCTCCTGTATAGATGCCCGTCTCTTGGCCCCTGGCCCTCAGATGGTAAATAATGTCTAGTCTCCCATGTTTTCCTAACTCCCTTTTTCATTCTCGAATCTCCAGAGGGTGGCCTCCCATAATGTCCCCAACAGCTTAAGCCACCTTCACCTCCTGGCGCCTCTCCACCGATTTCTGGCAGGCACAGTCGAGTCCTTGTCCTAGGATGCTGATGACTTAGTTAATGGAGTTGATGAATGGTTTTCAGCCTCCTTGGAGCACTTGACACTGTCAGTCATCCTGCTCTCATCACCCCACTGGAAACCCCTCCCGTGATTCCCACACCTCAGTGTTGTTCTGTATTCCCTGTTTCCTCATCCTTTCCTTGACTCTTGGGTGAGCTGGCGTCCTCTGGGTGCATGTGCAACCTAGGGTGCATCTGTGCCCTGCTGCAGTCCCCACAGTTTCTGGTGCATCTCATCCGCCCTGAAGGTTTCAACTACCATCTCTGTGTTGATGATTCTCCAGATGATTCTCTGTGTTGTGCTTCTCCCAGCGAGACCCTTTCCCTGAACGACAGGGTGTATCCCACTGTCCAGTAAGTCGTCTCTACTTGGACACTCAGCCTGTGTACCAGATTTCATGCTTCTGACTTACAGGTGTCATCATCTTCTCTAAATAGGTTTGTCCTCCTGTATTTTGTTTCTCAGCTAGTGGTACCACTGTCCCTGCGATCATCAGGTTAGAAATTGGGAATTAACTTTTTTTCCCCTCCCTGCATCTGTTCTGACCATTTCCAGCTCGCCCATCCTATCCTTCTTGGCCACCGAGGATGGTCCCTCCTTTGTTCCTTTGCCCTCGTGTCTGTTCTCCACATGTCTGGCACTCACACCTGATCTCATACCTCCCCTGTTGGCAGTCTTACCTTAGCCCCTCTCACCGACAGCAGGGGTTTGGGTTTCATGAGTCTGTTGGAAAAAATGTTGGGAGGGCTACTGTTGCGTTGCCAACTTTTAATCGTTCTAAATAAGAATGTTCGAAGAAAAAGGAACGCACTCTCTACCATCATTTCATAGAAAAGGACATTTCAGTGCCAGAAGGGGCACAATTAAGACAAGAGTGTGGTGGCCAAGTCTGTGGGCTCGCATGGTGGTCCAGCCGCTCGCCTTGTCGGCTCCTGTGGGCGGCTTAGTGGGCCCCTCTGTCAGACGGGGAGGACATTTACGAGCACACCTCACAGCATCATTTTGAGGATGAAATGAAGTGATATGTGCTGAGAGCAGTGTCTGGCGTGTAGTCTAGAGGAACTCCCTCACAGAACAGTGCCACCCCAACTGGATGCAGACACTTCTGTAGGAGGGAGCCCAGGCCCACCCGCCTTTCCGTCGGAGCCTGCTGGTGACCCTTGCGTGGAAAACGTGATGGGGATTTTTCTTTATTCACTTTTAGTACTTTAAAAACTTTAAATTCAAATCCATTAAATTCTTCAGCATATCTGCACAAGAGTTTCCACCTGCAGAGCTCACGTTTGGCATTATTTATGATCAATTGCACGTTAGCAGCCTTTCCGCAGCTTTATTTAGGCAGATACTTACAAGACACTGACACACGTCATGACTTTTCAAGACTCTCAAGACACAGCCATTGGTGGTTACCTAACAGCTGTGGTGTTTAAACGGTTTCCTTCCTCCTGACGCTTAGAAGATACTCGGCCTGAGGATGTGTTCAGCAATTCAGTGGTCGGAGGGCTTGTTGCCACAAACCGCCAGAGCCCCCTCCCCGCACACAAATCTTTTGGTCTGGGGGGGTGCCAAGACTGCGCTGGGTCAGATCTCAGGGCCCGCACTTTGACAATCACAGAGGATGCAGAAGCCTTTCTCCCTCCTCCGCCAGGCTGTGATTTTCCTTCCTCCAGGCTGTCCTCCGAGGGCCCCGTTGGAGTCTAGTTAACATTTTTTCTCCAGTAAGAATGTGAGCCCTCCTGAAGTCAGGATGCTGCAGAGCTGCCCCGTGTCCTTGTTTTCAGGAATCATGCCTTACCCACAAGTGAATGTTGATCAGATTAGGTTTCTAGTTTTCTTCCCTGGAAACGACAAGATTCACAGTGTTCGTAATCACCCCACTTTGCGCTTTTCCAAATGGCAGTGAAGTGGTTCGGGTTCTGCTTCAGCAGTGATATCATGTGAAACTTGTGTTCATCATCACTTGCATTTAAAGAGCAGCCAACAGAGAGTTTGGGAGCAACAGCCTTGGAGGAAGATGGGAGCTGGATTGGGAAGGCTGGATTAGGAATGAAGCAGGGAGGTCCGGGGTGGTGGGTGTGAGGGAGGGGTCGGGCCGTGGGAAATTACAAAGGACGCAGTTTTATGGTGGTCAGTGGTGTTAATTAGCCACCCAGAAGGATTTAGGGGCCCTCTAGTGATACGATCGTTTCACTTCAGGGATCTTTTACCTTCGTGTTGTGAGGGTGGGGGTGCTGAAGACAAGGGTGTCCACAAGAACAAAGGCGACAGATGGTCATTTTCACTTGTGGTGGGATGGGACAGCACGCGGCTGTCCAGTCATCTGTGGTGTCCTGGTGCCAGGGCGCACACCCCTGGGCGTGGTAGCCTGGACTACACCGTTTGCTCCCAACTCCTAGGGAAAGCCCTTTTCATATTTTGCCATTTTTGTATCCAGTGAATTCTGTTCTCACCATGTTATTTATAATTTCTTTGTTCTGAATATCCTACAATGGCAGGCCTTTCCTGGCTGGTGCAGACCCTCCTCAGACAAGGCTGTCCCCATCCCTGTGGTGTGTGGGCACCAGGGGGGCAATGTTGAGGGTAGGACAGCTTAGGGTTTCTGTCCTGACTCCTCGATCCTGGGGCTGCCACTCACTCACTGGCCCTCCTGCTTGCCCTGGCTGTGGGACTGTTAAACATTGCAAAAGGTTGGGAGTGGACGGAAGTTCTGTTTCTCCCAGACTGGCTGGAATGCACTCAGGGACTGCCCCTCTGTGAAGTACGTGTGTGTCCGTGGTTTTTCATTCTCCAGAGGAGGAGTGAGGTTTCTGGAGATGAGTTTGTGGTCTGTAGCCACAGACATTTTACTGGTACGCTGCCTGGAGTTCACTGTGATGGGATTTACCTTCACCAAACACAGACCAGAGCAAGGGGACAAATGCTTTTTTAGGAGACAGACAGCGGCTACTCAAACATGGTAAACATTATTTTTTAAAAAAATTATTGCTTCTCCAAAAAGAAATTGAATATACTCTTGTGCATCTGAAAATTTTGCACGATGATAACTTAAAAGTATAAATGTTGGTTTTTTCCGTAGGTTCTTTCATTCTGTTTGCTTATGCTGAGTTTCTCTTTCTTCCTTTCTTCCTTCCTTCCTTCCTTTCTTTTTCTTTCTTTCTTTCTTCCTTCCTTCCTTTCTTTCTTTCTTTCTTTCTTTCTTTCTTTCTTTCTTTCTTTCTTTCTTTCTTTCTTTCTTTCTTTCTTTCTCTTTCTCTCTTTCTCTTCCTTCCTTCCTTCCTTCCTTTTTCTTTCTTTCTTTCTTTCTTTCTTTCTTTCTTTCTTTCTTTCTTTCTTTCTTTCTTTCTTTTTTGGTGTCTTAAAACAGTACACATTTAGTATCTTATAGTTCTGGAGTTCACGACCAAAGTGGGTCTCCCTGGGCTAAAATCAAGGTGTCGGCAGGGCCACATTTTTTCTGGAGGCTCTGAGGACAACGTTTCTTGCTTTTTCCAGCTTCGAAAGATGCTGTATTTCGTGGCTCATGGCCCTTTCTCCATCATCAAAGCCAGCAACGGCCGGTGGAGTCCTGCTCTGCCTCATGTAGGAAACCGCCTCCTCTTTCTCTTTTTCCACCTTAGAGGACCATCCGAATAATCCAGGGTAACAGGCGTGGCCCGAGAGACCGCCAGCATACCCCCTCCTGCCGTGTAATGTACCACGTTCACAGGTGTGGCGGGCAGGGGTGCACAGATCTGCAAACACAACTCCTGCAGATATTTTTGTCGTCTTTTTTTATCTTTTTGATCTTTGTGACTGAACAGGAAATAAAGTGTAATTTCACAGTGTCATTCAATTAAAAAATTTTTTTATAAACACAGTACCTGATTCATCTTTGTTTCCAAGAGCAAGAGCATAGCTGTATAACATAGTTTTGTTCAGTTATCTTTTTCATGTATTTTTTAGTTTTTATGAAAAAGTCCAAAACAAACTTTAAAAAAAAAATAGACTGACTTACCGTTTCCTGGTATCAGTTATTCCTGGATAGTAAATTATTCCTGTGCTTCATTGCCTGTGTCTTTCATCGGACATGGCCCTCAGCAGTCAGGGATGCCATTTCCCCTCGTTCAGAGCTGACCGTAAGCTCTCCGCAGTGGACTCGGGTCCTGGGGGCGGCATATCCAGCACCGCCTCCTGGTGGCTGGTGTTGAAAGAAGGGAAGCCTCGGTGGTCCAGGGCTCCTCGGTGCTCTGCTCACCCGAGCAGGTCGCAGGCACCTCAGAAGTCGTGGAAGGCTGCCAGACGCTCTTCAGCCTAGCAGAGTTGAGACAGCTGAGTTGTATTTCAACAGCTGAAAGGGAGATCCAGGACTCGAACCTCAGACCGCCAGAGACCTGGGCCAGGAACTCACAAACGGGTAACAGTCAGGCAGGCCCTTAGAAGGAGACACCACCTGCAGTTTCTGGACCCTGAGCTTGGAATTAGCGTATTGACACGTGCGCTTTTTTCTCAGGTCCGGGCCCACCAGCTGGTCTTGCCGCCGTGCGACGTGGTGATCAAGGCCGTGGCTGACTACGTCCGCAATATCCAGGACACCTCGGACTTGGATGCCATAGCCAAGGATGTTTTCCAGCACTCTCAGGTAGACGTGTAAGCTCCCGGGTAGCGCCTTGTGCTGCGGTGTGTCCTGGGCTCGGGAGGGGCTTGGGAGGCATAGGCCAGCCGTGTCCAGGGGCGCCGGCCCCGCTGCCAGCCTCCGCTGCCAGGGATCGCTGCTGAGAAGACAGACATGAAGTGGGTCAGATGGAACTGAGGGTCTCTGACGTGTGCACCCCTCCTTCACTTGTGGTCAGAGATTTCTCCTTCCTTTTTTTTGGAAAGTACGGAATGTGAGGGGAGTCAGGGTTAGTAGAAGAAGGGAAGTTTGTGTCACTTCCCGCCCCCTCCTGCCCACTCTCTGAAGAGCTAAAACTGCCGCCCCACTTGCTGGAGATGGAGAGCCAAACCTTTCCAAGTAGCACCAGAGACCTGGCTAAGGAGAAGCTGGGGGGACCGTGCCCCAGAACTCAGGTCTCCTGACTGCCGCGTCAGACTCTGTGTTAAGTACATTGCTCGAAGAGAATTAATGTTCGATTTGTTTCTTCAATACTAATCTGTTGATTTTCCTTGAAGATTTTAATGTCATTCTAAACTCTCATCTAGCTTGAAAGGGTACAGATGATTATACATGTGCTAAATTATAAGAATATGTTAATACACATGACCAGTGGCATACTAATTTACAAAGGTTTTCCTACGTTTATTTCAGTCTAGAACAGATGACAAGGTTATTCGATTTAAGAGAGCAATTGGATATTATTCAGCGACTAGTAAGCCTATGGCATTTCACCCACCACATTACTTAGGTAAGTAAGACAAGGCGTCTGTAATGGATGCTGACCATGCAGTAACCAAAGAGATATAAATATTCACCCAGTAATCTTGTAGGTTCATTCTTTTGAAAGAGATTTCTGCAGTTATACAAATAAGTGTAGCAGAACTTCCCGGGCAGACGCAGTAGTAATCCCTGAAAGTGTTGGAAAGCGAGAGAAAACTTAGAGACTTTTGAGAGTGGAGGAGAAGAGCAGGCAGCCGTGAGGACCAAGGCGGGCAGGTGACAGTGACGCTGAGACCTCGATGTCTACAAGGGGTCCTCTTGCAGAGTGCACCAGGGACTCTCTGGATCTTTCCACAAGTGCCCTCATAAATGCACTGGGTTCATGTCTCCTCTTTTGTCTTTTTTTGGCAAAAGATCAGGTTTAACCCAGAGATCTGAATTGGGGAATAAAAACAATTATAAACTGTTTGCCTAAAGGCTGCTAGGTTGTGAATATCTCATTGTAAAGCACTAACCATAAGTACCAACCTCCTTCCTGAGTCAGACTGTGTCTTTCTTAGGGTCTGGAGCAGTGAAGCTCTGCGAAATCATACTGTCAACTGTTGTTTCTCAGCTGTGCTTTTAGTTCATACAACCATGTCCCTGGGACTGTCAGAGGAATGAGACTTTCAACTAGTTTAAAGATTAATCCTGTGGGTGGAAATGTCCCTAACAGTGGTCCTGTACGTCAGAGTATTCATTCACTTATTTCAACACAGTGCCACTGTGTGCTGTGTGCTGTGTACTGGGTGGGTGGGGGGGCACAGAGATGAAAGGTAAGTGCTGGCTTTTGATGGCTGTCCCTGTGGGTGAGTGACAGACAGATGAACATGGATGGTCCTGATGTCATGTGACTGAGGAGGGGACAGGCCATTTTCTCTGCTGGCCCAGCCCACTGTTGTGACTTGGGTAGTCGCACGGCCTCTTGACGGGGTGGGGCGCTTGCTCTCCTGCTGCCCTCGCCACCCACCCTCCTGCCCCCGTGCTGTTCATTTCCTTGCCAGCAGCCAGAAGAGTGTTTTAAAATGTCAGTCAGCCCATGCCATTCCTGTCGCGCTTGGAACACGCTCCCAGCTGTGCACCAGCTTCCCCGCATGGTCTGGCTCCTCCTCCTGCTAGCCTCTGCCCCTCACTCTCAAGGCCCTGCCTTCTTTCCTGCCTGAAATTTGCTCCGCTGGCTCCTGCTGGGGCCTCGGCGCTGGCCGTGGGTCTGGAGCTCTCTCCCCGACTCCCTGTGCCTGGGGCGCTGGCATTTCTGAGATCCAGGCTTTGCTATCTCTTCTTTGGGGCCCTTCTTGACCAGCCAAGCGACATCAGCCTCCAGGCCATCCTGTCACATCACCTTGATTTAATTCTCTGTGCACCTCCTCACACCCCCATCCCGCCCTCAGGATGCAGGGGTAGATATTCAGAGGTCCAGCAGCAGGACCTTACCTGCTGCCTCCACTCTTGTACCACAGTAGGCAAATGTGTGGCTGAATGGCTTACTCCACGAAGAGATGAGTGAAGTGATGAAATACAGCTTAAGGTTACTCTTGGAAAGGACGGGGTGTGTTGGAAGGGGGGAGACACGCTACCATGGATGACTTCAGTTAAGGAGAGATGCAGTGAGGGCAGAGCATGGCGTCTTGGCTCTACTCCGGGCCCAGGGGGATGTTAGTGGATGCTGTTGAGACAGGTGAGAGGCAAGGTGCTGATGCCAGGTCGTGGACGCCCCCCTTCCACTGCCTCCTGGCTTCACGCTTCCTGTTTTATTAAAATAGGATACTTATATGACTATTAAAAGAGAAAATATATGTAAAATGCTTTAATGAATGCTTGCTTTGTGACAGATACTGTCACTGTTACTTGTAGGAAGGATGACTAGAAAAAGCAGTGAATGTTGAAATGAGTGGTTAGAAAGCCTGAAAGGAGTTCACACAGGGACATAGCTGGTACCTCGTGTATCTGTAGTGATGTTCTGGCCCTCATTTGACGGCTGGTTTAAACATTCATGACAGTATACTTGGGACTAGCACATTCATCAAAGAGGAGGAGCATAGGAGAAAAGGGTAAAGACGCTTGGCGTAGCATTCGGCATTCACCTGAGCTGATAGCAATTTCGAAGATGTTTTGAAAAGGCAAGATGAGTTTTAAATTAGTTTAAGTGTGAGCTTCTCAAAAATATGTACTGTTCTATAAAATGCTTTCATGTTCGTATTAATTCATCAAAGGGCATTACGAGGTGAGTATTTTATAAAGGAAGTTGATGCTCTTAGAACTCACTTTCTCTTTCGCTCCCGAGTGGTTTGTGAAGAACGGTGGTGTGATTGGTAAAGAATTTGGGGGTATTTAGAGCGATACTTTCCAGCAGGTTAATGTAGGTGATAACTACCTGTAAATCCTTCTGTAAAGCATTTCCTGTTGCTTCTGACCATTACAGAAATCTGAATTGCGCAGCAAGGGGCTCCAGCAAGCACAGGCGGAGAGTCACAGCTGGGCAGGAAGTTTGGGGCAGTGCCGAGTTCAGTGTGTGGCCTGGAAGGTTGGGATGAGATTGAGAAGGAAGGTTTACTTCAAGTTAGATACAGATATGAGGTAGATTTTGAAGTCAGTTACAAGTGAGGTGAGTATCTCTTTATACTTACCAGAAAAAAAAACAATAAAATATTTTTACATGAATCTGTACAGTTTAATGAGTGCTCTCTTCAGAAAAGACATGGAGGCACCTTTATTGCATATTCTAAGTGAAAGAGGCCAGTCTGACAAGGCTACACACTGTATGATTCCAACTGTACGACATTCTGGAAGAGACAAAACTCTGGGGACAGTAAGGAGATCAGGGGTTGCCAGGGTTTTGAGGAGAAGAGAGGAATGAATAAGCAAAGCACAGGGAATTTGTAGAGCAGTGAAAATATTCCTTGTACTGTTATAATGCTGGTACATGTCCTTGTAAATTTGTCCAAACCTCTAGAATGTACACTACCAAGACAGAACCCTAATGTGAACTATAGATTTTAGTTAATAGTAGTGTATCAGTATTGGATCATCAGTTGTAACGAATGTGCCACAAGGGGCTTACTTTCTGCTTATGTTTTCTTAAAACTGCTCAAAAAATAACCTATTTAATTTTTTTAAAAAAGAGTAAATGAGCCCCTCGATGTGTTAGTCGGCCAGGCACTGTGGTGAGTGCTGGGCAAGGTGGGAGGCAAGGCAGATGTCCCCCTTGCCCTTGTAGATGAGTAAGACAAGGAACCACACAGGAATGTGAACAGGAATATCAAGGAAGACCAACCCAGTTAAAACCGTCCTTGATTAAACCAGTGTTTGGTTCCGCTCGATTAAGTTAATGCTCAGGTGAGGTTTGAGTGTAGAGTAGGAATTTAGCCAGGTGACGACAGAGAGGAAGTATATATGCAGAAGAGACAGCATGTGTAAAGGTCCTGAGGTGAGAGGCCAGGATGTAGAAGAAACAGAAGACCGGCTGGAGCATAGGAAGCAAGGAAAGAGTGGCCGGGTGATGCTCGTCAGGCTGGCGTGCAGTGACCGAGCATGGCCTTAGATTTTAGACTTAACACTTAGGACCACGGAAGCTCATTGAAAGATTTTTCATTGCAAAAACTGAAGTTATTTTGAGACTGTCTACACACTGTATATTCTTACAGCAAAAAACATCAGTGGAATATTATGCGTATCAGAGCCCTCTTCCTGTCTCTCCCTGGTCACATTCCCTTGCACTGCAGCAGCCTGAATTTTGTATTAATGGTCCCTTTGCGTTTATTTTGTGTACCCCGAGCACTGATTGGAGCCATGGAAGTGGGTGGGATTCCCTGGGGAGGTTTTCTGTGGCAGGCACTCTGTAGAGAGGGCCTGAGATGGGGTGCCTGAGGTGAAGGAGAGAAGGTGGGACTGGGGGCACAGAGAGGGCAGAGCAGCAGCCAGAGTAGGAGTCGTGGCCAGAACAGCTGTCAGCAGAGGGGAGGAGGAGGCCCCTGTGGCACCCACAGCTCCCAGACCCCATGCAGGAGCGTGTGGCTGCGTGGTCCTCAAGGTGCAAGGGATCTTAGGAAAAAGTTTGTAGCTTTGCAGCTTCTTCTGTGCTGTGAGAGACATGGGAGAGGGTGGGGTCGGTGGCCAGCACCAGTCCTCCAAATCCACCTCCAGTTGCTTCCATAAAGGGTGGAGCTTGAAATGAGGGGGAGGATAGAACATGCTTAAATTCTTAGGTAGCTAGTGAAAGCTGATGGGGGCCTCTGCAGGGGGATGGGAGGTGGGAGCTGATAGTGGCCCCTGGAGCATAGAAGTGGGGGTCTAGGAGGACCCAGGGAGCCTGCAGCACAGCAGGACAGCATGCGCTAATAATAGAGAATTGTGCAAAGAGGACAATATAGAAATAGGAGCTGTCGCCACTAAGCAAAGAACAGACTCCACATAGTGACCACGAAGAAAGGGCCTCTGGCTGTGGAGACTTCCTGGGTGCTGGTGGAGAGGCCCCGTGGGTGTTTTATCTGGATGGGCTCGCCTGAGTCAGGAGCCTGCATTAGCTTGTGTCCTGACAAGCCCCCACGGCCGCCCACATTCTGCCAGGCTGGGTCAGAGAGTCCTGATCCACGAAATGCCGAAAGGCAGACCTCAGTGTCAAGCGCTGGTGACCCGTCTATGTGAGGACATAAATGCCTACTGTCTTATCAGGAACAATTAGACTCTGTAGTTGGTGTTCCTGCACCCCAGCTGTTGGGACCAGGGGTGCTCAAAGGTGCTCTTGGGGGTCAAAAAGGTGCTGAAAAAAAAAACCAGCCGGGGGAGCTCAAAAAGGTAGCCCAGAATTACAGTCTACCTTTTTGAGCTCTCCTGGCTGTTCTTTTTTTTTAGCACCTTTTTGACCCCCAAGAGCACCTTTGAGCACCCCTGGGGTGTGCTGCTCCTGTGCCTCTTCGGCTGTTCCTGCCGCCCTCTGCCAGGGGACACGGCTCTTAGGACCTCATCCCCCTGCCATCTCCTATGCAGCCGGCTCACGGCAGGGGCGGCCCGGCCAGCCTCCTGCTCCAAGGGCGGGCTGTGTGTGTAGCCAGGCTGTGGGACTTACAGCGGGACCGACTGCGCGCAGACTGGGAAGTAACTTGCCCTCTTCCCACCCAACAGGGTACCTTTGGGATTTCCCTGTCACTTCTCAAAGGTTTGCCTTAGGATTTTTAAAGCTTTTGTAACGTCCCACAGTGGGGAGGTGCTGGAATCTACTTAACTGTGTCCTGTGGTCATCATCTAGAAGATTTTCAGTTTTTTAATGTAAATGACATTAATGTCAGGCCCCTGGGAGTCTGACGGAATAGTTGATGCCAGAAGGAAGCTAAGATGTTATTATGTTAAGTGGAAAGTCCTCTGATTTTCTCTCCTTCTTTCTTCTTGATTCCCAAGCAGATCATTGGATTCTCTGTCTGTTCCTGTGACCTTTCATTCAATTTTTAGTGAATTTATTTTTGTTGTCATGGTATGAAGTGGTATAGGCTGTCGGGTCTTGTGTCATTTTTTAAAAACCTGAAAATCAGTCACTTTAGAACGACTGAAAATACTGCATCTCCTTTCAGTTGCTGTCTGGTTTAAAAGACTACAAGGTGTGCCTTCCTGAGACGAACGCAGCTTGTCGTGAGGTCTGTGGGTGGCTTGTGGCATTCAGTGAAAGGGGGGGCTGCAGGTCTAGCTTACCAGTGACTTACAATATAAAGGCCTTTAGGACTTTTCTTTAGGTTGTGCTTTTTGACATCCACAGTTGGACAGAAACTGATTTGTCTTGTCTTATCATAGACTTATAAAACTTCACAGGTGGCTGGACAAGATGTAAGTGTTCTTTTCTTTTGCTGTTTGCCTACGATTCAAACCCTGGTTAAGTGAACCCAGGAACTGAATAGATTTGGATAAAATTTGGAATAAGTTCATCACCACCTAGAAGACTCTTGCTCTTTAAGACTCAGGTACCACATGGCTTTGAACGATGCCGTATCCTTTGAGGTCCACATATGTGCTGTCCAAACTCAGGGTAGAAGATTTGGATAGCCAGGGATGCTGTGCAAGCACCAGGCTGCCTTCCAGCCGTGGAATATTCCTACACCAACAGGCAAGCAGTCAGAGCAGCCCTTGTCATTGTTGAAAGTTCTTATGTATGTTGACCTGAAATGTGTTTCCCTAGGTTAATTTTTTCCCTTGCTCATAATTCTTTCAGGTACCTACTTGCTTCAGTTATGATCTTACTTTTCTTGGCCCTGAACTTCACCTTCCGTCGTGAGGGCTTCTCTCCTGGGCGGTGGCCTCTGGCTTTCCTGTGGGCCTTGCTGGCACCGCGATTCCAGGCAGACATCAGCTGCCCCGGCTCTGAGCTCTTGCCGGTGGGCACTCACCAGAAACTGACAAGCTTCAGTTTTCTAAAAGCCGGGATGACTTCTGTCTCCTCCTTCCCTAAAGCCCCAGGCTTCCTTGGCTGTGCCCTCAGGCTGGTCTTCAGTCTGCTCCAGTCTGCCAGACTCCGTAGGCCACAGCAGTGTCCTGTTGGTTTCCACTGTCCCCTACTGTAGCTTTACTCATCTGGGAGAGGATGAAACCAGATTATGTAAAATTCTCCTTCATGCAACTGTTGCCTTAACATCCGTATAACGTTGATACTGAGTAAATATGTCAACGGGGCTAACATAGTTGGAAAATTTTGCATTGTTCTTTGCAAGCATTGAAAACTAGTGGTGTGGTAGGAAATGTATTGATTTATTTAATCTTTGAATTTTCAAAGCTATGTTTTTCTGTGTGGCAGTTGCAAATCATACATCAGCACCCATCTAAATTACAGAATTAAAAAAATATTACTTTGCTATGATTATTTGCTTAATGTAACATCTCCATGGTTATATGCCCAGTAATAGATGACCGTTTGTTAGGTTGGTGTAGGGCCAACTAGTTGTCAGTAGAGCTTCTTGGTTAACACCATCCCCTTTTTAAATCTTAATTTAGAGAAAAGCTGGTTAGCTTCGCACAGGCATAGTAGGTAATTCAAAGGCGTGGACACTGAACAGCCTGTCCTATCTCCCAGCGTTCAGCTAACTGAACACAGCTGCGAGGGCTTGATTCTTTATTCTCAAAGCCTTTAATATTTAAATATGTTTAAATTATGACAGTATTTTTCATATGGTAATTAAACACTTTTTTTTTCCTCTTTCGTCTGTCTTCAGTCTGCCTACTTTTGTAACAGAAGCCTACCTTTCTTAGTAAGTATTTGTGAAAGGAAGAGAATGAGAACCTGGTGGTGTTAATCTCCACTCCGTGAACTGGTGTCAGTTCTGAGAAGGATGTGCTTGTCACACAGAAGGCAGACAGTGGCCCCGCGTAGCCGCGTGAGGGCATGAAGAACAAGAACCGATTTGCAGGAAGGGGTCAGATTGCAGAGGCAGGCCGCTGCTTGTGAGGCCATTTCCGAGGCCCTCAGAGGAATATAGACCAATTCATTCACTTAATACACGAAGTTAGGATAGAACAGTAACCAGTTCTGAGGGTTCTCAAAGGTTTATTTGGGGTCAGTATTGAAATACGATCTTAGAAAATGTTCTTTCCTTGGAAATCTTTGCTTTTAAGTTTAGTTCTGTGTGTGTTTTTATTTGGCAGGAGTTGTTTTGCTTTTATTTTTTTTTAAAGGGAAGTTTATAGCATTATAATGGCCCAGCATAGAGTGGAACATAAATGTTCGTCTTCACTTGAATGCTGCTGCCTAATTGAAGAAGGAAGTCTCTCACTTTTCGTGCTCTGTGAAATCAGGTGTGGTAGGCCGGCTGCGGGAGGTTGTAAACTGGGCTTTGCACAGAGCTTGCATGGATTTCTCAATACTCTTTTGCCCGAGATCTGGTTACCATTCAGAATCACCTGCGAAGGGACTTTACTAGTCACAGGATCTTATATATCATACTCGGAGCTTTGGAACTCATGGGCTTACTGTTTGATCGAGAGTGTGTCGTGTGTGTGTGTGAGCACACATGAATGTGCACGTGTGTATGTGTGGTGTTCGTGTGAGTGGTGGACGTGTGTGTGCATGTGTGTGAGCATGTGGGCGCGTATGTGCATGTGCCTCCAGCCCCGTCTGCACACGGGCCAGCATTACCGTTCCCAGCTTCTCGTCCTGCAGCCGTCTCTGTTCAGTGCAACTGGAGGCTGGCCAAGCCTTCTGTTCATGCAAGCCAGATCAGAGGGCTGTGGCATTTCCAGCTCGAGTGCCAGACACTTGGAAAGGGGATCTTCCAACAGATTGTGGCCTCTGGGGCCCATGAGTCTGCTGGGGAAGTGAGAAGTGAGCAATGGCCCCAGCCCCCGTGCTCCCGGTGTCCGTGCGACCCTGGACTGGATTGGCTCAGGGAACCCCAGATTAGGCATCGGTGGGAGTTTCCTTTCAGAGAATGAGAAAGAGGATTTGGGTACCTTATTTTTGTCGTTAACTTGAATGTGTTTGTTTATCTTAGCAAGTTGGTGGGGTGAGAGGTGATGCTTTGTGGGTTGGGCTTCTTACCTGCTGTTGTTCAGATTTCAAGGTCAGAGAGACACTCTTCCTGATAGATGACATTTGCGTTGAGGTATCTCTACGCTTGGTTTTGTCCTGTTGTTAAAAGAAACCTCTGGAAGAGACCGTGTAGGTGGTCTCCAGTAGGATCTGTGGTGTGTCCTCACAGGATGTGGGTTGTCGCTGTGTCTCCTGCAGTCTGAGCCCTAATGACACTCATGGTCGGGTCTCCCCACACCCCTAGGCCTGCCTCACAGCCCGATGTCACAAGCACCCCGCACCTGATTGTTCAGCAAGTGACCAGAGCCCTGAGGTGTTGCTGCATTTCTATCACATTAGTAAATAGTGATATTTTGAAGTATTTTTGACATCAGGGCCACACTCATCTCCCGTCACCCCATGCCGGGGGCATTGCCTTGCTGGCCAGCTGCACCCCGGCCCCCGCCCTCCTCAGATCCACAAGGAGACTGAGTGTTGTGGGTCTGGAGGTTTCTGGACCTTGGGCTGAGTTCACTGCTTGATGCCGTGTCTTTAAGCCGACCTGGGACCCAGTCCTGAGGTTGTGTTCGGAGCTGCTTCTCCACGTGGCTTCCATTCGGTGTCTGACTGTTACGCGTTAGCATTAGGGTAATGATGAGCAAACGTTTGGCCAGCGTACATCAGAGCGGGTTTACAAAGTCGTGTTGTAAGCACAGAATCCCACATTATCGATCCTGCAGTGAGTGTGTAACTTGATCATGGTTTTCTTAACAATGAAGAACAAGCCGAAAGTATAGGCAGTAACTATCACATTTCACTTTTTATATTTAAAATCTCGCCAGTAGCTAAGAATCTAATTGCAGTTTAAATAGGAAAACCCCATTGCTTCCCATGTGGAAGGGGAAGCACTCTGTCCCGCTTTGTTCCTTTAGTGCCTACAGGACGTACTACAGGGCTTCCAGCGCTGTCAGCAGCGAGCAGAGGGAGAACGCTAAAGACAGGGACAAACCAGGCGCTCACGGAGAGGAGCGAGAGTAAAAACTATCAGAATTAATTGAAAATTCGTAGAAGTTAGAATTCCAACCCCAGTGTATAAAATTGATCATCATAAGATTAAGTTTTTTAAAAAAAATTTTTAGCAGGGAGGTAATTAGATTTTTTAATTTATTTTTTTATTTCAATGGCCGTATTGGGGATTGAACCCAGGACCTCATGGATGCTAAGCAAGCACTTTACCACTGAGCTATACCCTCCCCCCCAGATTAAGTATCTTTTAATGTTAAGCGACATAAATTTCTAAAGGTTTCTGGGAAGTGGGGCCAGTGGCGTGCTGGCACCTGAGGAGGTACGAGACACGTGGGGACATGTGCTAGCAACTATGGTGTCATGGGGAAGTGCTCTTCTGCTCACAGTTGTTTTATTGTTTTCTTTCCATGTTGATAAAACAGCCAGACCAAATCCATTTGGAATGCCTGGGATAGTGCCACCATATGTCCCCCCCCAGATGCTCAACATTCCACAGACCTCTCTGCAAGCCAAGCCTGTGGTAAGGCCTTTCCTTTCCTTCTGCAGCTGGCCTGCCCAGCCTTGGTGGGGGCAGCTGCCTTGAAAGCTCCCTATGCAGCAAATCTTAATGAACAGTAAAATAATTTCTTAAACTTCTGATATGTGCAGCAGATCCCAGTGTTTGTTGAACTAAAACTTAGCCAAGACCAGGCAACGTTGACGTGTGCCGGGCCGTGCAGGCTGTGTGCACACATGTGTGATCTGTGCCCTCTGTTTCAGGCCCCACAGGTCCCCAGCCCAGGTGCTCCGGGCCAGGGTCCACACCCATACAGCCTCGCTGAGCCGGCTCTCACCTTGGACACGAGCGGGAAGAATCTGACTGAGCAGAACTACAGTAACATTCCTCACGAAGGAAAACATACTCCGCTGTATGAACGGTCCTCCCCGATCAACCCAGCGCCCAGCGGCAGCCCCAACCATGTGGACTCCGCGTACTTTCCTGGTTCTTCTACGTCGTCGTCTTCCGATAATGACGAAGGCGGTGGAGGAGCTGCAAAGTGAGTGGTGCTTCCCAGCAGTGTAGCTGCCGCCCTAGGCTTCTTAAGTTGCTTGTGTTCCCTGGGGAGGCTGCCTTCTGTCTGGCCGGCCCGTGGCACTGATTGTTGTGCCCAAAGATGCAGGTTGTTGTGGGTGGGTGACAGGTTACTCTGTGCTTGGACCAGGGCGCCTCAAACAGAGAAAGGAGGTCACACATTTCCTCAGGGCTTCCAAGGCTGAAAACCTGTACTACACCAGCCAGAAGCCTTGCGCGCCACCCCCCACCCCCCTTTTGGGGTGGAATCTTGGGAAACTTTTGTGTTTGTGTGACCACCAAATGTGGTGGAGTATCTAGCCAACTTCTGCCTGACCCTTTTTCTCCCCTGGGCTGTGATTTCCCCTAGACGCAGCCTGGAAAGCATTTCAAGTTAGTCTCCTGTGGCTTTCAGTCTCTTGGCTCCTGGATTGAAAGGAAATCAGAATTTCCTTTCCCCCCGAATTCAAAAACTTGAATCTGAGCTCAGCAGCTCATAGGACCGTTCTTGGAATAACACTGTTCACCCAACCAAAACCCATGGGAAGCTGCCAGACCCAGGTTGGAATTCTCCCTGCAGAGAAGTGTTTTCAACAATGTGTGTTTCTGAGCAAATGATTTTCAAATGCGTAATTTTTTAGAATCTGATTGAGCAAGTCTTAGTACACAGTCCTCCTCCTCCCTTCACATAGCCTTACGTTTCTAGGAAACCTGATTCACAAAAAGAAAGATAAACGAAGAAAACAAGAGTCTTCCCTTCACATCTTTGTCTCTCTCTCCTGGGTGTGAGCTCTGATTCACAGGTAGACATCCAGGGCTAGTTACTGCTGTGTTGATTTCCACTGTAAGAAAACCTGAGACATAGTTTCCAGTCTTCCTGGAGGTTCATGCGGGTGTGTCCCTTGAAGCCAGAGATTTTTCCTCTTTCGTCTTCTTTTGCTCCATCTGTAAAATGGGCACTAAGTCCACTGACTTTGGGCATCAGCTGCTGAGGAGTTCGCTGCCATCCAAGGGTGTGAGCGCTTGTGGGGCAGAGAAGCATAAAATGCACCAACGTTTGTTTACTTGCTGTCTGTGCAACCCTAAGCTTTTAAAGTGAAGTAAAGAGCTGTCATTTAGCATTCCAACTTTTAGTCTCCTTGAAAGGTAATTTTTTAAGTCCTACTGAATGAGAATTGCCGTGTTTGGGCTCAGAAATCTGCATGTGTAAAGGAGCCCATGTGACTCTTCAGCACAGGGAACTTTTTTGTTTTTTTTTAATATTTTCACGTTTTATTTATTTTTATTGAAATGTAGCTGATTTACAATGTTTTAGGTGTACAGCAAAGCAATTCGGTTGTACATATACATACATATATATGTATGTACGTATATATATGTGTTTTAGATTCTTTTTCCTTTTCTATCATTACAGAAAATCGCATATAGTTCCTAGCACAGGAAAGTTGGAGGGCAGCTGATAGATGTCTCAGAAGCCCTTTCACTCTAAGGAACTCTGAACTTTCTTTTAAAAATGGACTCATGTCAGCAAGATGAAGGTATCTGTGGTACAGGTTCACCTTAGTAAGACGCATCCTTTCTAGAAATAAGACCCGGAGCAGAAGTATGTGCTTTGTGGCTCAGAGACTGTGCTGGTGAGGAGCGTGGGAGAGGCTGTGGTCTGGGGCGGTTGGGCAGCAGTCCTGTTCTGTTGGGTAGGGATGCAGAGATCATGCGAGCTGCCCGCTCCGCTTGGCAAGCTGCCCTGCCAGGATACAGGCTGAATTTGAGTGAGTAAGGTTGCTTGAGAGCCCCTCCCTTCACTTGTGCTCATCCAGCTCTGCCCTGGTCCCAAAGGTCCCTACCAGCGCCACCTGCGCTGGGCTTCTTCCTCAGTCTGAGTCGTCTCTCCACCCTGTCAGCTCTCTAGCACTGAGCTGTCTGTACTCCTGACTGGGGGCATTTTATTCTGGTTTTCTGGAGGCGCCTTTAGGAGGTGAACTCCATATGTGGGGTTGGCATGGGTGTCTCACCGTCTTGTGGTGTGAATTGTGGTGAAATAGACAGAGCACAACCACCGCCTGGGCTCAAAAGGTCGGGTTGTGTGACCTCGCAATGTCTTCATTTCCTGCGATCTGCTTTTCCACTTACTATAACAAATAAGAGACAGGCATGTTACAGTGGAGAGGAAGGAGGGAAGGAAGAGGGGTCAGGGAGCCTGTGCCAGAGGCTTCAGGGTCATAAGCCAGGCAGCGTAGGACCTGGGGTCAGCCCTGTTAACGGGCGTCCCTTGCTCATGGTGGCAGGATGTTAAGAAGGGCAGTGTTTGTGATTTCAGGCTGAGGATTCTGGTTGAATCCGTTGTGTGTGTGCACTTTTTGAGGCCATGCATAGGACAGATGATTGCCCTCCTAGTTCAAAACTAAGGGGCACTAAGTCAGGATTTGGTTTACCTTTGGTTTGGACTTGATTTGGGACCCCTGGACCTACACCATGCTCTCAGGATGAGACTATCCAGGATGAGACCAGAGGGAATGAAATCATCCATTCATTTAGCCAAGCAACATTTGAGCACTTGCTGTCTGCAGGCAGCACAGACAGGGTGTGGTGATGGGAGCTCTGAAAAGAAGTGAACAGACAAAACGAACAGATAGACCCAGGTGGTGAGTGTGCGAAGAACACACCAGAGTGGGACTGGAGGAGGGGTTGCTTCCAGAGAGGCAAGGTTTGAGCTGTGACTGAGCGAGGAGAGAGCTGGACCAGTGTGTGGTGTGAAAGGGGAAGCCGGTGTGGCTGTGGTGTCCCGATGAGCAGGAGATCAAGCGGGGTGGAGTCTGAATTCTGTTCTGAGTGTGATGGGCAACCTCCAGTGTTTGCTTAGAATGGCCCTGGGGCTAGAAAGATCCCAGCGGCTTCTTTGGAAATGAGTTTGCTCCGGTCTGCTTGCTTTGGGGACGGACAGGTGTCGAGGTGGCCAGGCCATTTAGCTCGGGAAGTTACTGCTTAGTTGAACTGAAGCGCCTCTGGTCATGCCAGCTTCAGATGGACCGTAGAAGCATTTGTCACCGACTTGTACGACAGCAGAGGAGGGGGTCCTGCGCCACCCCAGGCTGGTGTGCCCTTTCCTGTCCGATTCCCGCAGACATCGGCGTTCCTTCTGCCGTCTTCCTCACAGTACCAGTAAGTGATCCTGTATGTGGGAGAACCCACAAAATAAGTAACCTCGTTTCCCCAGTGGAAGAGCAGGGGGATTCTTTTAAAGGATGGTGCTGACAGGCGATGGGGACTGTTACAGAATAAAAGAGAATTAACTCCCCACCCCCACATATAAAAAACCCAGCTTCCCACAAATCGAACAAACAACTGTTTTTTACGGCAAAGAATATAAACATACAGTTCCCAGAGGAAACACAGATGGTCAATAATGTGAAAGAATGTTGTTCACTCTCACTTAAAAAAGCATAAAGGACTGCAACTTAAAACATAACAAGATACTTTTTTTGTATATAAACATTTTTTAATTGAGTTATAGTCATTTTACAATGTTGTGTCAAATTCCAGTGTAGAGCTCAATTTTTCAGTTATACATGAACATACATACATTCATTGTCACATTCTCTTTCGCTGTGAGCCACCACAAGATCCTATATATATTTCCCTGTGCTACACAGTGCAATCTTGTTTATCTCAAGATACTTTTCTTAACCTATAAAATTGGCAAATACTGTTTTTTTTTCTAACTTTAAAATTTTTTTTATTGGGTTAGTTTACAATGTTGTGCCAATTTCTGGTGTACAGCACAATTCTTCAGTCAAACATGAACATACATATATTCATCTTCATATTCTTTTTCACCATGAGCTTCTACAAGATCTTGAATATATTTCCCTGTGCTATACAGTATAAACTCGTTGATCTATTTTATATATACCTGTCAGTATCTGCAAATCTCGAACTCCCAGAGGTTTTTAAAGATAAAGTTCAGTGGGGAAAATTGGTGGAGTTGGTAGGGCGTGAGGTGTCAGCTCTCCTGGCAGGTCCTTGGCGTTTGTGGTCAGTGGGACCCACAGGTGTCCGAGGGCTGTGGGTGTTCCTCCTGGGAGGGTGGTCTGCGCCGTCTGTGTGCAGAGGTGGGGGTGGGGGAGCGTTTAAGAGCAAAAGATGTGTGAGTGCCCCAGATGCCAACGATAGAGACATTCCTTCCAGAGAATACTGTGGAGCCTCTCCAAAGAGCGTTCCCGATGTGAAAGGCAGTTCAGGCTAAGGTGTCCCGTGGAGGAGCTGCCGGGAGTGACAGTGCCTCCTGGCTCGTCTGCAGGCGCAGATCGCTATGTGTGTATGTGTGTATCTGTAAGTTTGTACGCACTCGGCACACGTGTGCACACGGCAGGCCCTGTCCTTTATCTCCCTCCCTTGTTTTAATACCTTACCTAGCATTTTAGCCTCTTGAGCTGGGAGAGTTCAGGTGTCTTTCCCACCTCACTCCTGGAACGGCATCCTGGGTTGTTGCCCTCTTGAAGCTGACACGTGTCTATGCTGGACGAGGCGTCTTGGGCTGTGAGAGGCCCCCTGCGCACAGCTGTGGTGAGTCCGGTGTCTCACCAGGCCTGAGACGAGCTGCGTGGCCCCCTGCTGAAGCTGTGCCAAGTCTGCTCAGTGACATCGCCCTTCACTGCCGGAAATGCCACCTTCTGCTGTTGGCTGTGGCTCTGTGTCGAAGGACAAAGGCCACCGGGCAGCTATTTCAGACAAGTTATTCTGGAGTAAAATAAGAAAGAAATGTGCTGCCTTCTAACTAAATAATTTTTTCCCTCCTATTTCTTTTCTTAGGGTGTCACCAGCATATATTTCTTTTTATGTTCTTGGTTAAAATTAAAAAAAAAACCCACAGGCTGTATTCTTGTTTTTCTTCTCTTCCTTCCTAGTCTTTGTCAGATCTTTGTAATTCTCTTCTGGTTGAATTGAGAATTACAACTGAATCCTTGTGGAAGTGTTTATATTATTTTC